TAATGGTCTTGACCCTCTGTTCCTGTACACACAACTGTTGGAAGAAGCGCTTCTGGGCATAGAGGACGATAATGAGAAGTCGATTACAGATTTTTTTGCGAATTGTCGTCTTCAAGAGAATATCAAGAAAGAAGATATTGACGATATTGAAAACAACTATGCTGCTGAATCACCGATTTGGTGGTACACAAAATCGAAATTTATGTATCCGATGTTAAATCGTGCTCTTCGAGTAATGGATGTCGAAATAATACTCAAAATGGGCTTCTTCATCCGCGACTTGCATAAAAATATCACACAATTATATACGGACCAAGAAGGCATCTTCGGAAAAGAATTTAAAGTCTTTCGTGGGCAGGGTCTTTTCCACCAGGCTTTTAAAAAGCTGCAAAATACCACTGGAGGACTTATGTCCTTCAACAGTTTCCTATCAAATAGTCGTAATCGTGAAACGGCTCTCAAGAAATTTGCACTACCACGTGCAAAGAAAATTACCTCAGTTGGAATCCTCTTCGTGATGAACATCGATATAGATACTTGCACAAACTCATCCATACCATTCAGTGATGTCAGTAAGGCTAGCTACTACGAAAGCAGAGAAGAAGAAATCCTATTTTCAACACACACAATTTTTCGCATCGATCAAATCCAACCTCTCAACCACAAAAATACTGATCGCCTTTGGGAGGTGCATCTCACTCTAGTCGGCTATCAAGATGATGAGTTTCAAAAGCTTACAGCTTGCTTACGGGATGAAATTCGTGCTGTCAAAGAAGGACACGCTCGAATAGGTCAAATACTTATTAGAGCAGGTGAGTTCCGAAAAGCGGCACAGCTATTTGAGATGCTCCTGGAAAAGACTACTTCACAGTCTCATAAAGCTTTTTACAATCTACAACTTGGTATGGCTTATCTTAAACTTGGTGAATACCAGAACGCTCTATCACATAACCAACAAACTCTCGACTATCGGCTAGTACCTCTTCCAGAGAATCATCACCTCTTTGGATGCGCCTACAATAACAACGGTAACGTCTATCGTAACATGGAAGAGTACTCGAAAGCTCTTTCATCCTATCAGCGAGCACTTGATATCAAGAAAAAAGCACTTCCACTGAATCATCTCAGCCTCGCTGTTTACTACAACAACATCGGTAATGTGCATCTTCATATGAACGAGTCTTCAAAAGCACTCTTATCCTATGAAATAGCACTTGAAATTCGGAAGACAGCCCTCCCACATAATCATCCAGACTTGGCTTCTTCATACAACAACATCGGAAATGCGTATCAGGATCTGGACCAATACTCACAAGCCATGTCATCGTATGAACGTGCACTTGAAATACGGAATATAGCACTGCCACAAAATCATCCCGACTTTGGTTCTTCCTACACCAATATCGGTAATCTGTATTTGCGTATGGGCCAGTATTCAAAAGGTTTCACATGGTACGAACAAGCACTTGAAAATCGGAAAGTAGCGCTTCCACAAAATCATTCCGAACTGGCTGTTTCATACAACAACATTGGTAATGCGCATCTGAGAATGGGCCAGTACTCGAAAGCACTTTCGACGTATGAAACAGCACTTAAAATCCGGAAAGCAGCTCTCCCACAGAATCATCCCGACTTGGCTTCTTCCTACGGGAACATTGGTAACGCGCATCTGAAAATGAGCCAGTACTCGAAAGCACTTTCATCCTATGAAAAAGCACTTGGAATTCAGAAAATAGCTCTACCACAGGATCATTCCGACTTCGCTGCTTCATACAACAACATCGGTAATGCATACCTGAGCATGGGTGAGTACTCGAAAGCCCTTTCATCGTTTGAACGGGCATTTGAAATCCTGGAAGCAGCTCTCACACAGAATCATCCAGACTTGGCTTCTTCCTACGGGGGCATTGGTAACGCGCATCTGAAAATGGGCCAGTACTCGAAAGCACTTTCATCTTATGAAAAAGCACTTGAAATTCAGAAAATATCTCTACCACAGGATCATTCCGACTTCGCTGCTTCATACGACAGCATCGGTAGTGCGTACCTGAGCATGGGTGAGTACTCAAAAGCCCTTGCATCGTTTGAACGAGCATTTGAAATCCGGAAAGCAGCTCTCCCACAGAATCATCCAGACTTGGCTTCTTCCTACGGGAGCATTGGTAACGCGCATCTGAAAATGGGGCAGTACTCGAAAGCACTTTCGTCATATAACACAGCGCTTGAAATCGAGAAAGCAGCTCTCCTACCGAACCATCCAAACTTTGCTTGTTCATACAATAACATCGGTAATGTCTATCGTAACATGGGCGACTACCCGAAAGCTCTGTCATCGTTTAAACGAGCACTTGAGATTGAGAAAATAGCTCTACCTCAGAATCATCCCGACTTCGCTGCTTCATACAACAATATCGGTAATGTTTATCGTAACATGCGCGAATTTTCGAAAGCGCTTTCATCATTTGAACGAGCACTTGAAATTCAGAAAATAGCTCTTCCCCCGAATTACTGCGACTTGGCATCTTTCTATGGGAACATTGGCAGTGTGTATCTTGACAGAGGCGAGTATTCGAAAGCGCTTTCGTCGTATAAGCAATCACTGGAAATACAGAAAGCAACGCTCCCACTGAACCATCCAAATTTTGCTCTTTCATACAATAACATCGGTAATGTGTGTTTTCAGATGGGTAAGTACTCGGAAGCCCTTTCGTCGTATGAACAAGCAGCTGAAGTCGAGAAAAAAGCTCTCGCTCCGAGTCATCCTTACTTGGGTGCTAGCTACAACAACATCGGCATTGTCTATCGTAGTATGGGAGAGTACGGGAAAGCGCTTTTATCCTTCGAAAACTCACTTGCAATCCGGGAGAAAGCTCTGCCGCCGATGCATTCTGACTTGGCTGCTTCCTACAACAATGTTGGTAATGTGTATCTTCAAATGCGCGAGTATTCGAAAGCACTTTCATCGTTTGAGCGATCACTTGAAATTCAGAGAGCAATTCTGCCACCGAATCATCCGGACTTGGCTTCTTCCTATGGTAGCATCGGCAATCTTTATCTAGTTGTGGGCAAGTACTCGCAAGCACTTTCCTCGTATGAGCGATCACTGGAAGTCCAGAAAACAACTCTCCCTCCTAACCACCCGGATGCGGCTACTTGCTACAACAATATCGGTATTGTGTTTTGGGGAATGAACGAGTATTCGAAGGCTCTTGCATCGTTTGAAAAAGCATTTGAAATGCGGAAAATAGCTTTGCCGCGAGATCATCCCGACCTTGGTGCTTCATACTTGAACATGGGTAAGGCACATTTGAACATACACATGTACTACGAAGCACTTTCATATCTGCAAACGGCAGTAGATATCTTCAAAATCAGCTTACCGCCATATCATGAACAGGTGTTAAACGCGAACGTACTGATCACGGATGCAAAGAAGAAACTGTTGGCGTCGTTTATATCTGCTGTTTTCGGGCAAAAATAAAATTTTCCTATTAACACGTTAGTCTGCGTCCTAGATGCCTCTGCTCTAAGTAGATGTTGCGAATGAATCTCTTTTGAATGTTCATTTTTACATCCTGTGAGCTAAGTTCTTGTGCACGCGACGCCGATTCGAAAGTCATTAGCGTCAGAAAACATATGTCTATATATGTGTATCGTTTCTTTTTGGGTCTGCCCATGTGAGTGGCTGTGTATGTGGATGATATCCACACTCAAGGGATGGGTTTAGAAGAGCATCTGCATTGAGTCATTCGACATACCACACCCACATACTGCCAGCGGGACTCATCTCGCGACCAAGCTCCCACAGTCACACATTCACCCACACCCGCACGCACACCCTACTGATTTACTTTCAAGATGATCAAATCTTTAGATAGTTTTTATTCAACTTTATTCGTCGTGATGATAAGATATGACCAGCATGTGAGAGTGTGGGGCGGGAGTGGATAACATCATGTGAGTGAGGTGTATCAAAGCAGTCGATGAAGATGCACATTCAAGCATATATCCACTCTCAATGTTTTAGCAATGCGCTTTTAAATGCACAGGTAAGAACCAGTCTTATAACCCCTTTTTTGCGCTTTAAAAACATGTGAAAAACGTTTTTTCTAAAAGAAAAGCTTCACTATGAGAGCATCATGAGGAAAAAAAAAGTTTAAAATGCGAGCATTAAAATGGCTAATTGCAAAGTTCTGGAATAAATGCACGTGTTAACGCTCACACTCTACATTTTCTGCACTTCTGATGCTCTGAAAGTAAATATAATGCGGCAAGGAACGCGTCTTTTGTACTTATTTGATGGGTGCAAACAAGTGATCATCGTGGTTTCGGGTTGTGAATTTCAATATATGTTTAAGT